CCTATCTCTTGGGCTTGCCCGATAGCCATTTCGAGTGCAGAAAGGGCATGGGGGCAGCCATGGCATCCTCTGACCTCCTCTGACTTCACGACGGGGAGACAGGATCACATGAGCAGCATCAGCCCAAGGCTGATTCCTGTGAGGTCAGAAACGCTGCCACCTTCGAGCCTTTCGCTGGTTCTGAGTCACCTTCCCACACGGCACTCTCTCCTTCCTGTTGGATTCATCTGCAGTAGTGGCCACAGAGAACTCACAGGTGGTCCTCACGATCATGGGGTTTATTAGGGAAGTAACAGATAACAGTTCAGGTTCAGGAACACTTAGGATACAGTTCTTCAATCAGGTCAGCCTCCCCTCAGCCATGCCCACAGGCACGCCTCTGTTGGGCCGTCAGCCTGTTGCCTAGGCCTCTGCTCTGCTGGGGCTGGTGTTACCACACTCTTTTAACCCTGCCGATAGGTGCACCCCACTCCTCCAGCAAGCCTCCTGCCTGAAGGCTGCCTGAAGGCACTCGGCTTTCTCTCTTGGTGGGCGGACGCTGGGAGCCGCTGCTCTGTCCCGGGCCAGTCTCATGGTCCTGCCGGCTCTGCCGCCTCTGCTGCTGCCACCTCGCTCCCTCTCTTCCCCGAGGAGGTCCAGCACGGGGATCTCAGGATGCGCTCCGCTCCTGTTGCTGCTTCTGTCTTGATGGTAGTAAGATCCTGCTTCTGCCAGTCTTCTCATGAAGCTTCCATATACTGCATTTGCCCAGTCCCACCCCCCACAAGGGTATCACGTACCTTATTTACATTATTAGTAACTTATCCAGTCCCCTTGGTGAACCATAAGCACCTCACATGTGCATGGCCCCACCGAGTCATCTGGTGGGAGTCACAGAGCATGGCTAGAAGAGCTGTAGCAAGTAATGTAACGCGTTGGTAAGTTTGATCAGAAGAGGGTCTGGAAGTCAGTCAGTCACCTGAATGAGCTGACGTGATGTATTCAGTACCACATCAAAGAGCTCTGGTGGCCCAGTGGTTAAAGCATAGGGCCAGGAACCAAGAGGTCAGTGGTTCAAACCACCAGCTACTCCGAGGGAAAAAGATGAGGCAGCCTGCCTCCATAATGTTGTACAGCCTTAGAAACCTCATGGGTCAGTTCTGTTCTGTCCAGTGGGGTCGCCATGAGTCGGAATCGACTCGATGGCAGGCTTTGGTTTTGGTTTTGATAGCCATTTCATTCCTGCTTGATGTTGGGTCATGTGGTTCTAGCCCACCTTTCTGCAGTACTGTGCAAACCAAGGGTTGGGGAGCATGCCCATCTCTTAGCCAAGGCCAGTCGCCCCCTGGAAGTTGTAGGTTTATGAACTGTGCTGCTCTGTGGACAAGACCAGTGTCAGCAGCCTGGCTTTCTGCTGCACCAGGTGCTTAGGACTGTGTGACCTTGGGTGAATTTCTGAAACTCCCAGAGCTTCAGCTTCTGCTGAAACAGGGATATGACTATTGTTAATGTACCTTAAGGAAGGTTCCTGTCCATAGATATCCCTGCCTTCCTCATAGTGTTGACTGTTGTCACTGTAAAATGAGCTCGGCCTCTAGGAGTGCTCTGGAAAATGCTGTGCGCTGCACATCTGGGACATTGCCTTCTTGGACTGGGGTGGGTCCTACTGGAGAAGATGCTGTTTTGTTACACTTGTCTTGTCACGCCTTCCTTCCTTGCAAGTTTTCCTTTTTCATAATTGGTTAATTTATTCAGTAGATACTTCTTGAGTGCCTCCTCTGTGTCTGACTCTTTACCAGGGGCCAGGGGCTGAGGGGTGAATGAGGCCGACGCAGTAGGGCAGGCAGAGGCAGCAGGAAAGAGAAGGGATGTAGAGAGCTGAGGAAAAACTTCACAGAGGTGGTCAGGTGAGCAGAGACCTG